AGGAGCCTTGGCAGAGTCACAACCACCTGCTCGACCTGTGGCCAACAGGGAAAGGGATGGGGGGACGTGGGCAGGGTTTGGGGGGGCGGTTTAGGGGTTAGGGTTACAGTTAGGTTAGGCTTAGTCTTAGGTTTATGCTTAGGCTAAGACTTAAGCTTAGGTGTAGGCTTAGGCTAAGGCTTAGGCTAAGGCTTAAGCTTAGGTGTAGGCTTAGGCTAAGGCTTAGGCTAAGGCTTAAGTTTAGATGTAGTCTTGGGCTTAGACGTAGGGTTAGGCTTAGGTTTAGGGTTAAGGTTAAGTTTAGATTTAGGTTTAGGCTTAGGTTTAGGTTTAGGCTTAGACTTAGGATGAGAGTTAATGTTAGAGTTAGGCTTAGGCTTAGGGTTAGGCTTAGGCTTAGGGCCAGGGTTAGATTTATGATTAGTTTAAGGTTTAGGGTTAGGCTTAGGGTTAGGTTAGTTTTAGGCTTAGGTTTAGCCTTAGCCTTAGGCTTAAGTTTAGGCATAGGCTTAGGTTTAGTTGTAGGGTTAGCCTTAGGTTTAGGCCTAGGTTTATGGTTAGGGTTAGTGTCAGCATTAGGGTTAGGGATAGGGTTAGGCTTAGTCTTAGTCTTAGGGTTAGGCTTAGTCTTAGTCTTAGGTTTAGACTTAGGCTTAGGGGTTAAGAGTTAGGGTTAGGGTTAAGGTAAGGTTTAGGCTTAGGCTTATGCTTAGATTTAGGCTTAGTTTTAGGCTTAGCCTTAAGTTTAGGCTTAGTCATAGTCTGAGGTTTAGACTGGGGTTTAGGCTTAATCTTGAGTTTAGGCTTCAGCTTAGTTTTAGGCTTAGGGTTAAGGTTAGGGTTAGTTAGGTTTAGGGTTAGGGTTAAGACTAGGGTTACTCTTAGGCTTTGTTTTAGGCTTAGCCTTATGCTCAATCTTAGGTTTAGGCTTAGGTTTAGCCTGAGCCTTAGAGTTAGGTTTAGCCTTTGTCTTAGGTTTAGGCCAAGGCTTAGTTTTAGGCTTAGGTTTACACCTAGGCCTAAACTTAGGCATAGACTTAGGCTTAGTTTTAGCTGTAGGTTTTGGCTTAGGCTTAAGTTTAGACTTAGGTTTAAACCTAGGCTTAGTCTTAGGGTTAAGTTTAGGTTTATGGTTAGTGTTAGTCTTAGGCTTCATTATAGGCTTAATCTCAGGGTTAGGTTTAGGCTCAGGTTTAAACCTATGCTTAGGTTTAGGCTTAGGTTTAGGCTCAGGTTTAAACCTATGCTTAGGTTTAGGCTTAGCTTTAGGCTTAGGATTAGTCTTAGATTTAGGGTTAGTCTTAGAGTTAGGCTTTGTTTTAGGGTTACAATTAGGATTAGGCTTAGCCTTAGGCTTAGATTAAGATTTACGCTTAGGCCTTGGCTAAGGCTTGGGTTTAGGTTTAGGCTTAGATTTAGACTCAAGGTTAAGGTTAAGCTTAGGCTTAGGGTTAGGCTTAGGCCTAGGCTTAGGGTTAGGGTTAGGCTTGTGTTCAGGCTTCGGCTTCAGTTTAGGCTTAGTCTTAGGTTTAAGCTTTGATTTAGGCTTAGGCCTAGGCCTAGGTTTAGGCTTAGGCTCAGACTTAAGGTTGGGTTTGGGTTTAGGCTTAGTCTTAGGTTTAAGTTTAGGCCCTTAGGCTTACACTTACACCTAGGTTTAGGCTTAAGTCTTAGCCTTAGGTTTTTGTTTAGGTTTAGGCTTATGCTTAGTTTTAGGTTTAGTCTTAGGATCAGGGCTAGAGGTAGGGTTAGGGTTAGGAATAGGCTTAAGCTGAGGTTTAGGCTTAGGTTTATGTTTAGTCTTAGGCTTATGGTTAGGCTTATTCTTAGGCTTAGGGTTATGGTTAGGGTTAAGCTTAGCCTTAGGCTTAGTCCAGATGTAGGCTTAGACTTAATCTTGGACTCAGTCTTAGCGTTAGCATTAGCTTTAAGCTGAGGCTGAGGCTGAGGCTGAGCCTTAGCTTTCAGCTTAGGCTGTGGCTTAGGGTTAGGCTTCGGCTTTGGCTTTAGCTTCGGCTTTGGCTTTAGCTTAGGCTTTGCCTTCGGCTTAGGGTTAGGGTTTAGGGTTAGGGTTAGGGTTTAGGGGTAGGGTTAGGGTTTAGGGGTAGGGTTAGGCACTAGAGAAAACTGAGAGTAGTGGGGCAGCTGGAGAGTGCTGTCCTGCATAAGTGTCCATATCAGAGGGAGAATGGTTTCACAAACTGCAGCGACTGTGGTGGAACACTATTATGTGGCAAAACATCTCTTCGCCAGTTGATTCCTTCCAGGGCCACAGCTCTAAAGATCATAAATGGTTACTTGTTTATTACTATTATTTTTAAAATATTGCTCTACCAAAACAGTTGTCTTAACTAAAGTTATTTTATTTTCATCTGAGGATAAAGCATGTCAAGGATTTTCTAACAAACCAGCAACCTGGAAAATGTTTTTTGCACATGAATTCTTGATCAGTTGTTATATATAATCTCAAGTGCCTGTCTTGTAGGCACTGATTTAGGTTTATGAGATCATTGACACTGGTAAACATACTCTTTTCACAGATTATAATTGAAGATTAATTCTTAAATAGGCCCTTTAGTAGAGAAGAAACATAAAGAAGCATGATTTTAAGAAAATAGACATCAAATTAAAAACTGCTTATGATCTCCTGCAAAACAGTCTCAGTAATATAAGCTTTCATGTTTATTACTAATCAATCCGCAACATACGGAGAGAAAGAAGTGCTTGTTCACCTTATTTATGATTAAATTTAGATGTTAAAACCCTGGATTTTTCAGAGAGTCAATTTTTGTTGGCCTTTCTTAGCAGTAATACTAAAATATGTACCCAGAATCTGTAGAAGGTGAAGAAAAATCTGAAGCTTGTAAAAATGTTTAGCCACATGCCTGCTAATCAAAATGACTCACTACTCAGACAGGGAAATATCCTCAAACCATAAATGTAAATATTGCATGGTTAATATATTGTAGAGCACAAGTAATAATCTCTAGTAAAAATAGTAATACTACTAATAAAAAACCCAGCAAATAAAAAGAGCCCCATGTTCATTCTGTGCATCATAGCTTTCTCAAGCACATGAGAAAATGTCATATTTTTCCATGGGATATCTTCATCAGACTCCAAACTGAATTTTCATCTTTTGTATCTAATGGTTCTGCAAAGTTGTATCTTGCACTGTGAATTGTCTAATCCATGCATCCCATCTTCCGTTTTCAGACTCCAGTTAATCTTTACTTGCAGAATCTCAGCTTTACTTCCCTGGAATACTGCATGCAGTTCCACATGTCTGTATCGAAGATGCCTATTGGGAATGGAACAAATGCAGCCAAAAACTTTGAAGGTCCCCAGAGGAAAAGAGGACATGTGACATGACTAGAAAAGCTTGTTTAGTCTAAACATATTGAAACCTGCCTGTAAAGTCTGGCAGAAATAGAATACTGCAAAAGATATTTAAGCTGAATATGAATACTGATGAGGAGCTGTCAATATATTTTGGTGAGGTTACTTGTTCACAGGCGGCCTCTTTGTCTTCTCCCTCCTGTACCACTGTTGGGCAGGTGTGTTTATGTGAGTATGCAGAGAATCACATTAGGAAGCTTATTCGAGCATCCTGTCCGTTTCCTCCTTCTGGCCTGGATCAACATCCCGATTGGTTTTGCTGTCCTGCCACAATTGAATTAGTAGTGAAAATCCAAGTGCTGAAAATGGTGCTGGATTATTTTACAGAATTATCTTATCAGAATTAAGGTACATGCTTTAATTCTTCCCTGTTGAAGTGATGCAGTTCTTCACTCAGAAATGGTAGCTAAACCACTCTAAGTGTAAACTATTCTAGCTATTACTTTACAATCTACATACTTTGTCAGTGTGGAGGTTTTTTCTGAGCTAAGTCACTGTAATTGTTACCATTCGTGGGCTCATTAAATTTAGTGTCTCGTAACGGTATGGAAATGGAACTTTTGAGTTGCATCCACACTAGGGGGCTGTGTTGCTTTAAAAATGTCCATTTCAAAGCTCTATATACCAAGAGAAGAACCCATGCTGCATAAGCAAGTTATAAGCATTACTTTTCCCGACATAAAGAAGGAGATGGGAGCAGAATAGTAAAGGGGAATGACTTGCAATTTAGCAAATATAAGGTAGGAGCAAGGAAATTTTGTTATATGTATAGTTAGAAGAAATGTTGAAGTTTAAGGATGAAGGAGTGCTCTCATTATCTTGAGATGAGTGGAAAGGCAGAGACCAGCGCTCTGGCAGTTGAGACCTAGGATGCATAACCCAGTTTACTGGAACTGGAACTGGGGAAAACAGTTTGCCCTTCATCAAGATACAGCAATTTTGGCATTTTCTCCTCCATAAAGGGGAATTTCTATACCCTGCATATCCCAATCGTTCTGATTCAATGTCCTATTTCTTTGTCTGCATCAGTTCCTGTATCGCTACAGTGTGGAGGATTCTTTTGTTAAGGAACTCCTTAAAACATCTTTTTAGGGAGACTTTCTCCTTATAATCCCAGTAAAATTACAATTAATTTTTAGATAACTTTTCCAACTTCCTTTCCAGGCCTCATCAGGACATTAAGGCAGAGGTATACTGAAACTCAAGTGGATACACTGTTTGAAAATTAACTAAAGGGACCTCCTGCAATTGTAAAAAGAGGTAATGTCTTTTCTAGATTTAATTTCTACTAACCATTTTAAATACTCAATGGATCCAAGCAATTCTTCCAGTGGATTGCCTTGTTTAACTCTGTTAAAAGGGATATTTTAAAGACATAGATTTCTTACATAATCTGTCTTTGTAATAAAATCCCTTAGATGTATTAATGTGTTTCACTGGACTTTAAAACAGGTAGCATCTACCATGGTAGGTCCCTGGTTAGACAATGTAAGTTTCCTTTAAATTCCCAAGGTTCCCCTCATGAAGGACAAAAATTCTGTTTTCCACCCTTGTCGTGTCTTAAACAAAGGACATGGATGCAGGAGAAAGGGCAGTACTTAAATGTACGCGACATTTTTTATAGATCATTGATTATATTATGAGAAAACACGTACGTTTACTACTGATATTATAAATGACATACATGCCCATACATAAAAATCAGGAATTTTCATTCCCTGCTCCTCTGTGTGCAAAAGGGAGAAAACATTTGCTGTTTGCATCTCCCTGTATTTTAGTTGATAAAAACTTGGACATTTCATCTCACTGCTTGATTTCATTTTTTATGTATATCTCAGTGGGGAGCTCTGAACTGTACTTTTATAATGTCCTCTCTCTGTGCTAATTTTTATCTTTAGCTACTGAAGAAGATTAGTAATACCTTAGCTGCAGAAATTTAATAAACAAAGCTTAATTAAAACAGGAGAAACACAATAAACCCAAAGGGTTCTGCTTTAGCACTGTAGATTCATGTAATTTTTCTTGTTTGTTATGTGTTTTTAAAAACTGAGGTGGGGGGAGGGCTGGAAGAGAACTTTAGGGTTTTATATTTAATTGAACTAACAGCATGTGCTGTTAAGTAATAAATAACACTGACACATGGTGACTGAACAAATTGGTTTCCTCAAGCAATGCTTCATTCACTGTCTTTCATTGCCATCAGGTTAAGAGACAGCTGCTTTTTGTCAGCCTACAGGAGAAATACTTGGTAGTGCAATAAGCTCCTTTCCATTCCAGCCACAACAGCCTTTTAAATGCATTAAATTAATATAAATAAAAATGCAGGCATTAAACAAAACTTGGGCGGCTCATTGATGTGAAAAAAAAAATCCTTACAGAATCAGTTATGGAGAAAGCATCTTTCAGTGATTCAGAGCACTTCACAGAAAGCAAGCACTGCTGATAGGCAAGGTTCTTGTACTTTTGCAGGAAAAGGATTGTCAGCATTGAATCATGGATAAAGTCCCTGATCTTAGTAGGCTTCTGCTAGCGACTTGTCATTCAAGAATCATTAAACACAGACCATGCTCTTGCAAAAATTCTTTACTGTCGCACATGTGCTCACTCCAATTTTGCACCATGTGGAATATTTCCTAGTAGCTTAAGGTATCATGTGTTTCTACTAGCCTTACATGGGGTCATTGCTATGGAGACTTCTGACCTTCCCATCGAATAGTGCAAAGGTAGGATGATAGACTAGCCTTGGAGGGATACTGACAGAGTGAAATTTATGGGGCTATTGTAACTCACACGTATAATTCAGATTGAAGAAGTCACTGCATTCATTGTACTGATACTCTACCTATTTCTTTAACTAGATTCCTTTCGCGATTTTGGATTTGAAAAGTCTAGCTGGTAAAAAGACCATTTTCCATTGAAGATAATTGGGGCAGCTGGGAGAATATGCTCATAAAAGAGATGATGGCAGTTCAAGAGTTGTTGAAACATCAGTCTCCTTGTTGCATAGCTCTTTGATAGGAACCTTACACTAACCATCTCCATGGCGTGGTGAGTGACTGATGAGGTACTGCATGGCGTCTGCAGCAGCTCAGCCTCTGCCCTACAGGGTGTCTGTGCAGCACTTGGGAAACAGGAAGCATTAATGAAAAGGAGGGAATTAAAATGAGCTTTTTAGATACAACGAATCTTGCCACCTGGTTTTCATACCAGAAACCACACCTACTAGGGATTAATTTTTTTGGATCAGCTCTACAGTTTCCCCTGTTAGACGTCTTTTCTCTGCATAATTATCATACTAACACCCCCTAATGTAACAAAAACAACATCCATCATAGATAATAATTCAAAGATAAATGTTTGCTAGTTATTTTCTGTGTCTTTTAGAAGAGTTAACCTAGTCTGATCAGGAAGTCTACTCCTGATCACACCAAAACCTCACTGTAATATATTCTTAATGCCATTATAGTACTAGGAGAGGTGCACACTGTAGCTTCTGCTTCTAGCTCACACCAGCTCAGCATGCAGTATTGAATTTCCTCATTAATTATGCCATTTCACCCAAACGCTTGTGCTTTTAGGTACAAGTATTGTTAGTGTATTTTCAGCTAATTTTTGCTATCTTCTGTTCTGTTTCTATTACTTAGAAA